GGTTCCAACTCCCCATGTGGCCACACCGAGCTTAGTGTGACCGAGGAGTTGAACCCGGATGAATTAGGTCGTCCCCCCGAGAAACCCCCGCCAGGCGGCCTGATCATGAGATAATTGATATTATACTTACAATTTAATTATTAATAAACAACTTGTATTTAATATCAATTGCAATTTAAAAAAAAAAATAAATAAAAATAAATAAATAAATTTATCTATAATGCATTTTTTTTTAGTACTAATTACTATAAATCATGTTTAATTTTTTTGTTTTTTTTGTTTTTTTTTTTTTACTATATTCAAATAAGTAAGATAAATACTTTTATGATCACGTTATCACGTGATCGCGCGACTTAAAGATGGTTTTGATTCAAAGCCCGAAGATTTTGCCCAAGTAATATTTGCATGAATTATTCGCTAATAAATCAACATTCGTTCCGTCGCAACCGAAATACATAACATTATTAAAAAAATTTCTTTCAAATGCAAATCCCCCTGATAAACACTAAATATTTACCCTGGGCTATACGGTATTTTCTATCCAACTTTAGATAAACAGTCATGATTCATTTCGTGACTTCATTGATCGTCGGTCGCGGTCATTAAGGTATGATATAAATCTTTCGCGAGCTAGCTTTTGTTCTTCCTTTTAAAAAGTCTATCTACACATGACCCTTTTTGAAAGTGTCAATCAGGTTAAGCTGTATCCTTTAAAGGATCAACCCGGGTAAATAGTAAAGTGCTACATCTCAGAATTCGGCACTTTCGGAAATTCGTTTGTCTAGACGCAGCTACTCCCTGACATGAAATTGTACCGTATATAAACCCAATTATTTTTTTTTCTTTGAGATTTTTAATTTTGCTTCTAGGTATATACTGTATATTAGAAATGTCGGTCGTAATCAAGGAAACCCACAATATCCAAATGCTTAAACCGAAACCACGTACACAGATACCACTTTCTAAATTTGATACTATTTCGTGTTACATCAACCTAGTTTATTTCTTCAAGAATGTTCATAATGAGTTCGATTTTATGAATGTTCAGAAAATCCAAAATTCTCTTAGAGACATATTAACAGACTATCATCCACTGACTGGTGCCATTATAAAAAACGAAACGGATAATCAATTGTTAATTGATTGTGATGATCGCGGGATTCCGTTTGTCACTGCAGAAGGTTCTAGTGCCATGATCGAGCAATTAGAAGAAGATAGTAGGACAGAAACACTCGAAAGTTTTATAGTTAACAATGATATCCTTAACAAAGTGACTAGGGTTCCCTTATTAGCAGTACAGCATACTAAATTAGTGCCTGACGGATCAGTGGTAATTGGAATTTCTATTCATCATACTGCCGCCGATGGCGCTGCAGCATTCGGGTTTTTAGAAAATTGGAGTAGAAAAGCTCGTCATGAACAAATTCTTGTTCCTCCGGTACATGTCCGTGATATATTCAAAGAAGACAAAAAAGATAATGGCAAACAAAACGGTGTCAAGCTAAGTAACGAGAAAAATAATGCAGCACCACCTAAACTACATAATGCCGTTAAGCCTTCAAAGAGGTTTCATTTTAGCAATGATCAACTTAATAAATTACGTGAGGTCTATAGTACTGATATCCCTAAAGGTAAATGGGTTTCAACAAATGACGTAATTGTTGCCCACCTAACGAGAAATATCACAAGGGTTCGAAATATTGACTCAAACGCTGAAGCTACTGGCGTATTTATTTGCGCAATTGCATGTAACGTACGTGAAAAGTTTAAACTCTCTAAAGGATATTTCGGTAACGCTTTTTGGTAAGTTATTTATTTATAGTAATACTACATATCAGCTAAAACATACAGTATTAGCCCGTAAATTTGATGTCAATTGAATTCTTGAACTCTCAGTACTATATCTGCTTTACTTCCGGTTTCTAAACTGATTAACGGTTCGCGATCTGAAGTGGCATTACAAATTAGAGAAACAATCTCCAAAGTAGAAGATGCGGACATTCAATTCTTCGAGGACTGGTTCAAAGAGAAATCCAAGGGTCAGATTCCAACCGAAGGATTCCTTGTATTTTCAAATTGGTCCAAATTCCCGGCGTATGAACTTGACCTCGGTTATGGAAAACCAACGAGATTCCGTCCAGCTATGGACCTTGAAAACGCCATCGTTTTTTCTGGAACCGCCAATAATAATGGAATCGATGCTTTTATTTATTTGAAGAATGAGCAACTCGACAAATTAAATTTTGATTAAAAGTTTTCCATAAGCATAGAGACCCTTTCGTATAAATACAGTATACATATTATATCATATTTTATTATTTCAATGTACACGTTTGCCTTCGATTCATATACTGTATACTTAGTTCTATCAAATGTTGGCAGTTAAATAATAAAGTAATTACCGGAGTTAACAAAATAATTACGAAGATTGATAGCTGTTGCACTTGTTCCTTAAGCTAAGAAAATTTATATAATCATATGTCTTTATCCAATAAACAAATTCGAAAAATCATAAAGGATGGTCTAAGCATGTCAATGAGTGACAAAGCTTCTTGATAAAATTTATTTATAATAAGCTTTTAACACTATATATCCTTAAAAAAACAAAAATCAAATCTCTATTTAGAAATTATTTATCTAATATATAAACTTTAAAAAAAAATATTAAAATATCTCTTTAAATATCTATCTATAAAAATAACGAAAAAATATAAAAGAAAGTATAAAATTAATTTATATATTAGCAAAAAATAGATATATAATAATAATAATAAATCAATTGACTATTCAAAAACCAATAAAAAAATAGATTGAAAATTAATAAAAATTTATATAATTAATAACATTATAGAAACATTTAATTGTAATCAATAAAAGCTTGTTTATAGTTCAAAAACTAATATATTTTGTGTTGACCGATTACTTTTGATGAATATTGTATCATTAAAAAATTCAGAGTCAAACTGAAATAAGCAAAATTTCTCAAAAAACTATAAAAGTGAAAGTTCTAAAAGAGTAACAACAGTTAATAAGAAGAAAATAAACTTTTCTATTGTAACAAATCTCTAGAAAATTTATTTTAAAGATAAAAAATATTTCATAATTAATTTTTTTTTTTTAAAATACTTTATTGCTATTGATAATAAAGGTGCTATTTAACTTTTTCTTAATTATTAAAAGTTAAGTTTTTGATTAAAAAGATTTAATAATAAGAAAAAAATTATAATAACAACTCTTGAAAAGACTTTTCAAGTTATTTTAAGAATAGTAATAAGACTTAATTAGTCAAGAAGTTTAAAAACTTTTAATAAATATCTTTTTTATATATAATTAGAATATTAATAAAAAAAAATTTTTTTTTTAATTGAAAAAATAAAAATATATTGATTATAAATTTAATTGTATATATATTTCATCAATATTAATAAAAAACAAAAAAATTGATAAAGAAATTAAATTATTAAAACTCTTTTTATTAATTCTCTAATTATATATAAAAAAATATCTGCAAGAAGTTTTTTTATTTTTTTACTAATAAAGTCTTAATACTTTCTTAAAACAACTTAATATATAATTTTAAAAGATATTTTTACTTTTGTATTTTTTTTTATTTAAATCTTTTTTCTTAAAGACTTGACTTCTAATGATTAAAAAAAGTCAAGTAATATCTTTGATACTAATAACAAAAAAGTTCTTAAAGAAAAAAAAACTAATTGTATATTATTTAAAAATCTTTTTAACTTTTAAAATAAGTTAATATAGAAAATTTATATATTAAAAAAATTTCTTTCTTTTTCTTTTTTTAACTATATTTATGTTTTTAAAATATCTATTTTTATAATTTTTTAAAGAATTTTATATTTATTTTAATTTGATTCTAAATTTTTTGATAGCATAATATTTATTAAGAATAATTTATTGATATAAAATATATTAGTTTTTAAATATAAACAAGCTTTATTAATATATTTATGTAATTTTATAATATAATAATAATTAGTAAAGAATATTTGAAAAACTTCTTTTCTAAAGATTTAAGTTATTTTAAAAAATATTTACAATAATAAAAAATTAAAGATAAGTAATATGAATTATTAACTTTTATATCCACCAAATTTCTTAAATAATAAAAAAAATTTATTAAATAAAGTTAAGATTTTTTTATTATTGTTTTTAATTATTTTAATCTGATATTTATTTAATTAATAAACTTATTACATTAATTTTTCAGATATTATAAGTCATAATAAAAAAATATTTTTTAAGGTTCAATTTAAAGTAAGAAAAATATCTCAATTAAACAAAAATTTTTTAAGAAAAGATTATTATTTTTTATTACCTTTTTAAAAAAGTTTTTCTTTTTCTTATTTATTATTATTTTTTTTTTTCAACTTAACAATTCATTATTTTTTTTTAATTAATCAAAAAAAAATTTTTTTTAAAAAATATTGATTTAATCAAAAGACTTTATTAAAAATTTTTTTAAAAATAATAAAAAAGAAAAAACCATTAGAAATTGTATATTCAGATTAAACTGAATAAATAAAATATTATAATGTAAGATTTCTACATAAGAATTCTACCTTGTAATTAGACCATTTTCTAAAAGAAAGAAAACTAGCCTGTAGTCTAATTAATGCTAAAAAAAATTCCAAATCTATATAAAACTATTAAATAATCAATCCAAATTTTTTATTTC